GACCTGGACTCCACCGATCGCCAAAGGCAGGGACAAGCCAGCAGCCTTCCAAAGGTCCCCTGCCGCCCAGAGGGAGACAGTCAGTCCCTCCTAGCCACAGCCGACAGCGCTGGCCACGGTTGGTGTCCGCTCAGGACAAAGCCGACGTCAAAACCGGGTGTGTCTCCTCCTCCTTAGGGGAGAGATGTTCCAGGAACCACACGACCAGCAGACCGGCCGGGCTGCCGCCTGTCCCCTGTCCTCACTGCCGTGTCTGTCACCTTCACAGCGCCCTTCCCCCACGTCCTCCACGCTTTTTTTTCCCAAACGCTTTCACTGTTTCTCGCATTTCTACATGCGCGGTCCCCAGCCACCCAACGCCCGCGACGGTTACATAGCGGTCAGCGTAGAATTTTTAGGGCCCAGATGCTCAGCCATACTTCATGCTCTGGAAGGGACAGCCGGGTACAGCACACCATCGATCTGCAATCTCGGATGTGACACCGAGTGTTTAGGGCACAGAAAGGGGGCACAACGAACGAAGCAAAATCGGTGCACTTGACCTTGTAAAAATTAAAAACGTGATGTTCAAGGGCGCCCTCAAGACAGAAAAGACGACCCTGAAGAAGGGAGGGAACGTGGGCGGCCGCCTGTCGCAGAGGCGCACAGTATCGGAAACACACGAAGCACTCGCAGAAGTCAGTGAAAAGCGCCGGCAGCGTGACTTAAAAACGGGTTAAAAAACAGGCAAAAGGGGGAAAAGAAAGAACAGACGTTTCCAAGCAGACACTTCCAAGTGACTTTTATTCACATCTACTTAGCTTGTTGTCTAGAATAAACCCCCGTATTTTTTTTTTTTTTTACAAATAATGCTTTTTTTTTTTTTAATGTTTTTTTTTTAGGCGAGGCCACCCTTGGTTGACCTCACAGATTGCAAGGATCTCTTATTTTTTATTTTTTACGCCTGCAGCGCCTGGCCTTCCTAGGTGGTCTCTAATGCAGAGTTTTTTGTAAGAACGCACATTCCACCCGTAAGGATTGTAACATCTCCGCGAAGCAGACGCTGCGTTTGCTTATGTCGGTTCCCACAGAAATAGGGTTTTTCATTGGCTTTTTCGATACGAAATACGACACGTGCTCCATTGTGAAAAGACGACATTAACTGTGAAAGTGTCGATTCCACACGAATAGCAGACGGAGAGGCCGCCAGGGCGGGAGGCCAGCCTCGTCTGCGCTCCGCCCAGCAGCGCGTCCTGCGTCCGTGGGTCCGGCTGCAGGCTGGCCTGCCGCTCCGGGGGTCATGCGGTTGTCAGCCGACCCCGTGCGCTTTGAGACCGCACACTTGGGGGTACGTTCTGTGTCCCCAGCATCTTTCTGCAGCTTTTTCTCGAGGTTTCCGTGCGGCTCTGGCATTTTTTCTTAGCTGTGGAGTAAGAAGACAGCGAGGTGGCCGTGCGCTCACACCTGGCCCCATGGGGTCCCTTGCGTGTCCCTCTCTCTCTGCAGGCTCCCAGGAATCGAGAGGCAGGTTTGTGTACGTCTACGTGCTCGTGGTCTTGGGGACCGTTGTCTGCGTCCTGGCCGTCAGCTGCCTTATCCAAAGGTAACCCCGGGAACAGGTTTGCTGCGGGCGGAAGACAGGGGTGCGTGTTCCCACATGGCCGGCCCCTCCCTCAGAGACACAGACAGGCTGCGGGACCCCCGGCCGGCTCCTCAGCCGTCGGCCGGCCGGTGGGGTGCCCAGCGGACGCCGTGTCTGAGGGAGAGAAGGGAGGAGGAGAAGCGCACAGTGGGGGAGGGGCCTGAGCCCACTCGTGACGTGACACTGGTCTGTGGCCGGCGAGACGGACAGCTGACCAGGCGGGGACGCGTCTTCTGGCGCCGATGGGCACGTCAGGAGACGCGAGCAGGTGGCCCGCCCATGGTGACCACAGCCGTCTGGGCTGCCCGGTCCCGCCAGACCCCACAGCCGTTCGCGTGCTCCGTGCCTCGCGAGCTCCGGGCCCCTGGAATGTGCCCCCCGCCCCGCTAGCCTTCCCCCCCAGCAGACGCCCCAAACCCCGGGGCCCACCGGAGCCCACCCCGGGGGATCCCAGTCGCGGCCCCCACACACGCACGAGGCGCCTCGCGCCACGGTCCCCACGTCGGTCACCTGTATGGCCTCCGCACCCCGCGGGGCCTGGGGACCCCCACAGACGCTTTGGCGTGATGTGCGCCTGCGCCGCGCGCTGAGCCGTCCACCGCTCGCAGCCGCCTGTACTCACGGCACATGGGCGCCAGGGGGCGACGCTGTGCTGCGGCTGCGTGTGGGGGGACATCCGCCTGCTCCGCAGGGACGCTGCGTGTGGCAGCAGAAGGGAACAGGGCTCAGTGCCGGGGACGCGGACAGAGGCCCGCCTCACAGTCCGTCACGTGAAGGAAAGTCTCTGCTTCCTGTGACTGCGAGGTCACCTGACCGCAACCCGGGGGCTGAACACAACGCAAAGTCACGCTTTCCCCGTCCTGGGGGCCGGCGGGGTGACAGCGGGTGTCCCAGGGCCTCGCTGCCTCCAGAGTTCCCAGGGGAGAGCCCTGCCCGCCTCTCCCAGCGTCTGGGGGCCCCAGGCGTCTCCGGGCTGGTGGCCGCGTCCCTCCTGTCCCTGCCTCCGGCGCTTTGCCGAACGCAACGCGCTGCTCCGGACCCGGCAGAGAAAGCACCGCAGAGCGCGCGAAGCGGGCGCGCGGACTCGCGGCCGCCGGATCGGAAGCCGCAGGCCTCCCGTGTGCGTGGGAGGGAGCGACCCTGCCTTCCCGGCCCCGCCTTTCAGCCCCGAGAGCCCGGACCCCCTGAGCCGCCAGGACTGGGCACAGCCCCCACCTCTCCCCGGCCCGGAGCGACAGAGCCTGGTGGCGGTCCCTCCGCGGGCCCGTGTGTCCCCGGCCTTCTCAGTGACCTGAGCTTGCAGTTCACCCTCTGTGACTCCTAAGTGGAAAAGCTCCGGACACCGGAGCCGGATGCTCGGCCCCGGGGCACGCCGTCCTGCTTCC